TCCGTCAGGTGTCTTACCGCGCAAATAGACGCAGGGAAAAAGGATTAATCATCCCAGGGCGCTGCGTTCGCGTGTATAGTATTGGAGCGCTGCTACAATCGTAGCGCGCCGACGCGCGTCATGACGAAGTCTGAGCGAACAATTCATTAGGCAGTGTTTGAATGTTGGGATCGCGGCTCTGCAGAATCCGCGATGGCGGAAATTCAGCAGCTCGGGCTAACGTGCAAAAAATGCTATGAATGTATCGTTTTGAGGGTTCACTTTACGACAAATTGGGAGGGAGAGGATTAGGCAGGAATCGACTGGTTCGGTTTTTGCAAATCACGCATTTTCTTGAATCGCAGATTCTACAGGAAATAATGGTGAACGGGGTCACTCAATTCTCGTGACTGTATGTCGCCGATTCTCCTAATGGGCCTAATGTTATTGTCTGCAACCCTGATGGGAAGAACTTGGGGGAAAATTCTGCAGAGGAGTGGTGTATTGAGTACTGAGTGGCTATTTATAGTATTGTAGTTATAAGTCCAAGAAAGTACTGCTCGGTGAATACAGCCACTGAACAGTCCTGCCATTCGTAGGAGGTTTTTTTGTCTAATGTTTGGATGAGGCAGAGGTGAGGTGGGTAGTGACAAGTGGCGCGCTTACCACTCGCGCGGTCTCGGGTGAATCCCGGGTCGACTCCCGCCCAGGCCAACCAAGCCTTCTACCCTCCGGGGACGGTAAATTGGTACCAGATTCGTCTGGGAGGATAAAACACTGACTTGTACATCGGCTGGCCACCGCAAGTCATTGTATAGGCCACATCGCATTCAATAAGCCACTACGATTCTGAATGGAAGTAGAATGCGTGCCGCATCCCACAAAGGGATTGATCAACGGCGAAGACTTTATCCTTTTATCTTCAATGTCTAGATGGCAGAACTCTTTTAATTTACTGATATTACAGTTTATGAATATTTTGACGCTCATTAGCAGAGTATCATTCTATCTGCTGCTCAGTGTAAATTCATAAAGTTAATTATTGATATCGGCCAATAAATGGGTGCGAACCTCAAGTAAAAGTAGTGTGAAGTAACACCCTAAAGTAAGTATTTTTCAGCGGAACGGAATTTGAAGTTTTTTGCGTGATAACATCAGAAAATCAATAGCCGAACTCAGTCTCTGAAACCCTTATAATTTAATCAGGAATTTGAAGTTTTCAAAGTTTGGAATCATGGTTTTCCCATGGTCTGTGATGAATTCCAATGAATGATAGACATGTTTTTAGAAAAAGTCCCTGACGGTGATGATATCGATGGGCATCCGTTCAATGAGGAAGATCTTATACCCAGTGTATGTTTTTCCTCGTTCATGTTTCAGTGATGTTTTTGATCATTTACAATATTTCAATAAAAATATTTAAGGCAAAATACTACGAACTTCCTGCTGGTATAATGCTTCCCGTGATAGAGATCGAACAATTCGCGGTATAAGTTATTGATTACTACGTGTTATGGGCACTACTGAACTGTTATTACGTCAAAAACTCAAAAAATTTTTGCTGGCATTGTACGGGTAATTCGGTGTCCTGATCACAAATATGACATTCGTTTGTGGCGTTGGTGTGGCGCCGTTGGGCACCAATTTTTTTTCACCAAAACCGATGAAAAGTGGCGTACTGCGGTTGTTTTATGTTCTGATCGCGAATATGGCATTCATTTTTCAAACAAGCGCCATTTAGCGTTCTACTAAGGCCGAGCCTGGGGAAAGGAGTGATTCCCTGCTTGCTAGGTTCAGGTTTAGCAGGGTGCAGATGATCCAAGTGCCCTACATTAGTGCCTGCGCCAAGAGTGAGTGATTCGAATAAACCTCGTGTACCAGTACTCGTCGATTCTATTGAGAAAGAGACAACTGCCGCTGGCGTTAAATGATGCCAAAGACAAGTGTCATATCTGTGACCAGTGCACAGATTCACCCGTACAGTTAAATTTCAAGATTTTTTTAAGATTTTAGGGTAGTGTTAGTTCAGTGGGATCATGTTATGTGAATATTACAATCGTGCTGCAGTTGCTGAGTTTGAACCAAGCCGTTTTGTTGCAGTACAAGGCTCTGGTTCCTGACAAGTTAAGAATGCCACCACCTGTGCCACCCTCCCAAAGGCTTCTGAATGCGTTGGACGAGTTCTACAGTGCTACCTTGGATCCGACGAGAGAGCCGTAAGTCTTTTGCCTTTTTTTTCATAGTTAATGAATAACGATATATCAAGATTTTTCAACAATCTCCACAGGTTTAATTTTTGGTGTCATTAAGACAATCTAAATTGTCTATAATTAAGAGTTCCTATTTCTTTTCCTTGTTCTAGAGCACTGCAGGCATGGGGACGTGGAGGTTGCGCTGAATTTATGGAGAGAAAACAGAGGTTGAAGGGTATATTGGAGGAAAAACTGAAGGTTAGTTTTAATGAACTTACCTTAGTGACAAAACTCTTCTTCTTCTTTCCCTTAATTCCGCTCCGTCGCGATGTCCGCTGTTAGCAGCCATCTTCTATCATGGGCGTCCTCTGCCGTGATTTTCACTTCAGTGAGGTCTCTTGATGACGTCCCTCCACCTTTTCTTTGGGGCTCCTCGTGGTCGCTTGCCCTCTGCTTCGAATTCCAATGCCTTCCTTATTGGGTGGTCCTCAGGCCTTCTCAGCACGTGCCCATACCATCGCAGTCGCTGCTCTCGTGCCTTCAGCTGGATCGGAGCCGTCTGTGTGACCGCTCTGACGTCCTCGTTTCTGACTCTGTCGAGTCGTGTCCAGCCGCAGGCCCATCTCAGCATCCTCATTTCAGCTGAGTGGACGCCTATCATGGTTCTTCCATGTGGGCCAGCACTCGCTGCCCCAGTGACAAAACTCTTGGACAGTAATCGGTCAGAATAGTCAGTTTTGGGTATTGTAGAATAAAATGCCGCGAATTTATTCATTGTACTGTGGTTCGCTAGAATTCTTGATGAAATACTGAGGCAAAATTGATAGAAAGGGCATTACCAAAGTGGGAGAGGCGCGGGAACTTGTCGATCACCTTTCAGCGCTCCCTTCGTATTGCCGTTCACCAATAGATTTCAATCGTATAGTAAGATAAAGAGGTCTCCCAATTAATCTGTTCTTCCGACACTCTCCCTTGTTGCGACGCATTTTAACATTATCACGACCATATGAGCGTCAGGGCAAAAGGGGAATTTGTGCAATTTCCAGAGAACAGAAGGTTTGTCATATGAGCTGTGTTGAGGACAAAGTAGAGTCCTTCGATTGTGGAGAGTTCTACGTTGCAGAACAGAGAGGTCACTCCATAAAAGAATGGATGAGCACGCAAGATCCCTGTGAAGTCCTCAGAAGTACGCAGAATCCACTTCAAAGTATCCCACATCCCGACATCACGGGATTGTCGCAGCTTGGTCCTGTGCTTGTTCGCCTGTTCTTCAAGTTACTATGATCCATAGAAATGTTGCAGATCTGGTTGAACGTAAGGCTAGCGAAGCACTGGAGGTGCATAAAAGGATAAGCATAAAGTCTTCGCCGTTGGTCAATCCCTTTGTGGGATGCGGCAGCTTCTAACGTCATTTCAGAATCGTAGTGATTTATTGATGCGATGTGGCTAATACATGATTGCGGTGGCGCAGCGATAATACAAGTCAGTTTTTCTATCGCTCGCTAGAAGATTGGTACCAATTTGCGTCCCGGAGGGTGAGGCTCGGTTGGCTTGGGCAGGTGTCGATTACGGAATTCGAACCCGGCGCCGCGCGAGTGGTAAGCGCGCCACTTGTCACTACACCACCTCCGCCTCAGGAGATGCATAATAAATAAAAATATATAAAATGCAGTGCTCCGCCGATTAACAATGGACAGTTGACAGTGGCGATGGCTTATTAAAATATAGGGCTTTTTCAAATGTGCGGAATGAGGGTTTCGTGACTATGCGACAAATCCTATCCTCTTACATTCAAAGCCCTCTTCGCCATTTGCCTTCCTTCCTTATAACCCATTCGATCATCGAACTAGATCGCCTCGATCGTCTTTGGCTTTATTATTTATTTCAAACTATTGCTTTTGTTGTACGTTTTCCTAGTCTTTCCTGATTTCAGAGGAAAAAAGTTATTGATGATATGGTTTTGAACGGCTTCCGGGAAATGAAAATCTGGCAGGAAGATCTAAATGCGGAAATCAAGATGAAATATGATGAAATGCGAAGGTAGTGTTGTCGTGCTGTAGTGGAGCTGGAAGCGTTGCTTGGTGTGCGTTCATACTTTGCGTCAACGTTTTAGCGTTGGCTGCCGGTGCTGGTGTACGCTGGCGGCGTACATTCGTACCGCTATGGCGAACGTCAACTTTCCTAGTCGCTCAGAGTGCTATTGCAAAGTATGGACGTGCTCTGATTGGATTGGACAGAAACATTTTCTGAAATTAGAATTTAAAGAAGAGCTTTTAGGAATGCTGTCAGTGAAGAGAACGAAAACCAGAAAGAAGCCTCCCCGTCTGCCACATCGAAACGGAAGGATCGTGGTCGTTCTCGGCGGTATTTTTAAACGCTTCTTCATTTAGGGTTCTATTCGCTATTCCTAAGGAATTAAGGATGTCGTGCTCAATTTCATTTAGGCGTAGCCGCAGTAGCTCTTCGTCATCATCGTCACGCTCATCGAGGTCAAGCTCATCATCATCATCATCCTCCTCTAGCTCGAGCTCTTCTTCGCGACGCCGCTCACGAAGTCGGTCATACTCTCCAAGAAGAAGGTGCTTCATATCACAGTTTTTGTTCCCGAATGTTGAATGTTTCTTGGTTCTCGAATGTTTCCCTTATTCATTTTCTGCAGGTCTCGCTCACGATCTCGCTCTTTGTCTCCGGGTGATCGACCATCGTTCGGTTCAAGACACAGATCTCCTTCTCCTGTGGCATTGTGAGTGTTCAAGGCTTACTTCTCATTTGAACGGTCTTTCGCAATTTAACGGTGCTTTCGTGCAACATATGGTGGTGCTCTTTAGCTTTTTTTTCTTAAGTGATGAAACTTCGAGATTCCGTATGCCACCCGCCCCACTATCATCTGTCAATAAAGGCGCGCAACTGATGCAGAAGATGGGTTGGAGCGGCACTGGCCTTGGAGCCTCGAAACAGGTTTGTGAGCCTTTGGTAATTGCAGATTTTTTTCTCCTCTATTACCAACTGCCTTAATCACTCGGAGGATGTAGCAACATGTGAAACGTACGTGGGTCAAACCTTGGCTCGACTCCCGCTTGAGCAAAACGAGCCTTCCATTCCTAGGAGAACGGCTTGGGAAGCGTAGTTGTCAGCTGTGCTCCCGTTGATCATCAGCTTGCTCGAGTGGGTGCCAGTAGCGTGTACATTCATCTCTGCAACAGAATGGAATTGTCTATTAGATGTTTCTCGAGGGATACGATAAATTCCATAGCATTCGTTCAGTGCAGAGGATAGAACACCGACTCGCACATTAGCTGACCCTCGCAAGTAGCAGGGTCAGTGCTTATTCCAGTGTGCTTCTAGGATTCTGGGTGGCCGCAGCGCTTCCAGAAAGGAATCAACGACGCTGACGGCGTTCTAAGAGCCCCATTTATCACCAATACGCACATTCTGCATTCTAAGTGAATCAAGTTAACGGCGTGAATGAAATTTATTGATTCTCTTCTTCCTGTTTTTAATCACAACTGCCAATTTTTCTGCTTTTTATGGCTAAACTTTTGCGATACCATCTATTGATACTGCAGTGATAGGAAGGGGCCGGGGAGCGGGGGTGGGGTAGAGAGTTCCGATGCTGTTTTACTAATTGCCTTATGTCCCCAGTTGTCCCCACGATGCCCCCACCCCTGCAAAATCCCATGGGAGAAGTTTGACAAAGAACCAAGGAGATGAAGTTGAAGCTTGGTCTGTTACTAAAGTCCGGCTGGATTGCAGTGAGCATTAGCCCTTTTTCGAACAAGCTGTACAATTATCTCCGAGGACAGTTCTGCGAGGCGAACGGATCCGCAGCTGTAGTAGCGTGCCATTTTCTGCGCTCAAAAAAGGCACGGGAACGAGTCCGGAAATTAGTGCATAGCCGCATACCCTGGACCGTCTCCAAACTCCGCCCGTGCTACCCTCTATGTGCAGCACTTGCGTCTCTGCCGAGATTCCTTAGCTGAGCACACAATCAGCGGTAGAAATTCACCAAAAGTGAGAGGCCAAAGAAAATAGCGCGTTTGGCTATGGTTAGGCATGCGGTAGCGCTGGCGATGTACGGAGATGTCATCCGGGTACCTCCAGCCTACAGCCCCATCCCAGTGCCTTTTTGAAAGGAGAAAGTGGCACGTTACTAGTGCAGCTGCGGGCCCATTCACCCATTCAGAGATGACAGGTCAACTTCCAAGGTGGTGAGCATACAGTCTGCCTTCCGAGCAGCTATCAGGTATCTTTCCTTATCCTGAACAATAATTGAGGACAATGAGTAAAGGTCAAAGGCGGACATGAGGTTAGGTGTTGCTGAAAAGACTGGTGCTTACGAAAACGTTTCAAAAATAACTACCCATTCACTTGTAAACGTTGGTATTTTTCCTTTTTCAGGGAATCCTTGAACCAATAAGTGGCGGCGAAGTTCGTGACAGACAAGACCAGTTCCGTGGTTTGGGCAGTACAGTGGATGTGTACGAGCAGTACAGGTGGGCTTCATTTTTCATCTGACTGTTTAAGGTACTCGCTATTTATGAAACCTTTTATGGTTAAGGAAACAGCGGAGTGGAAACTATCATGACAGAAACCAATCCAATCAAGCTGCAAGGGAAAGACGGACCTGAATGGATTGATGATTTCGTTTTAGTCAAGTTTCCTGATGGCGACTACAGGATATGCTTAATGGACTTGGTACTAGTGGTACTACCATCACACTCCACCTCCTTTACTCTCGTTCTTGTTCACTGCGTGCTCGATTGTTATGTTTGTTGATTGTGAAAATAATGAAAATAATATTTAAGTATTAAAGATGTAATTGTATAACTGCTGTTGGTGAGGTTGATCGTTAATTTCGATCATATTTACTCCATGTTTCCTTTTTTGGTGATTTATGGCATTTCTTGTCACCCGTTGACCTCTGTTCAGCCCTTCATGTGGGTGGGCCAACTGTGGTTGACATGTGTGTTGTTGGTAGCGTTCGCGAATGGTTTGTTCGAAGATCAAGTTGGAAAATTTGACTGGTGAGTCTGCTCCTTCTCTTTACATATTGAGAATTGATTCAATATCGATTTAGGCGCCAGCAGTATGTTGGGTGTCCACTGCAAGTACATTTCGATGAAGGGGGCAAGAACGATCGGTTACTAGTTTCCACAAAAGAAAGCGTCTTCGCTTCTCTCTCAGCTAACACTGGACAGATAGGTTTGTCTTACAAAACTGCGCTGCCCACGCAACCGTGAAAAGCCGTGGAAGTACTTGTTCAAGGCAGACGTCCAAGTGTGCGTTCGGAATTCGTCTGAGGGCACTTGTCAACCGCAGACATTTCCTCTCTTTCCCTTTTTTCTCCATCCTTCCTTCTTTCCTTCCTTCCTTT